GACGATTTCACTTCATTTTTCTATTTTCAATTCTGCAGTACTGGGGAATGAACTCAGAGTCACATGCTCTTCCTGCTGAGACACACGCTGAGCCCCAGTGGGTCCAGTCTTATGAGACAAGCTCTAAATTGCCCAGGCTGGCTTTAAATCTGCACCCTCTTGTCTCAGCCTCCCAAGTAACATGTGCCACCACGCCACATTTATTTTTCTACTCACTAGAAGTCCAACGCGCTATCCATTGTGCTATAGAGCCCATATTTGTTTTTTTTAGATCTCTTGGGAACTGCAATCTTTAGGTAGAGGAAATGAGACCATCTGCATGTATTGTGGTGATAATTAATTTAGTTTTAATCTTTTATTGTTATTTTTAGTTTATCATAGTTATTTACTATATTCTCTTTGCTTTGTTTTTGTTTTTTTTCTTCTGGTACAAGGAATCCAACTCACGACCTTGCGCTTGCCAGGCAGGCGCCGTGCCGCTGGGCTACATCCCCGGCCCCTATTCTCTTTGTTTATACCTAGCTTGATCGCATTTCTCATCCTTCTTACCTCCACTCCCACCGCTCAAATTTGGAAGCTCTGCCACATTTTCCATCCAAGTCATTACACACTGACCCCTAGCACTGGCGTTTGATCATTAATGATCTCACTCCTATCCTACTCACCAAGATGAGCCTTCACGACACTGCTAGTATTTCAAAAGCAGGTTGTCATGTATGCCTAATACAAAGTCATCTGAATATAACAACATGCTCCTTCATTTTCCATCTAAAGTGTTTTTGCCAGCTGATTGAAAACTGATCAAATTTTAAGGCTATACAAACACTTTAAAGGTTGTAATATTTAAGTCCTTTAACATCTAAATTACATTTTTGGGAACTTCTTTTTCTCCTCACAATTTACAAAAACAATTTTCTTCAAACTATTGATATGCTTCTTGTATATCATCACTATAACTACTCTGGAGTAATCTTGCATTAGTCTGAGATAGAACTTTCAGAGTGAGACCTTTTCTTTTTGAGACAGGGTCTTGCTATGCAGTTCAGGCTGGCCTTGAGCTTACTTTGTAGCCCAGGATGGTCTCAAACTTGCAATGATCCTCCTGCGTCAGCCTCTCAAGTATTAGGATTACAGGCGTGCGCCACCGCGCCCGGCTCCCATTTCATTTTTTAAAATAAAAATTCTGCCATGTTGCCTCTATGACTTCTTTACATTAGCACTCACCTAAGTTTCAGGTTAACATTTCTTTCCCAAATAGTGCTTTGTTGTTTAAAATAATGAATATGAATTAACATCACATAAATGTGAGAATTGTAAGGTAACTCTCTTTACTAAGAAATGTTTTTTTTTTTTGGTACCAGGAATCAAACTCAGGACCCTGCGTTTGCCAGGCAGGCGCTTATGCCACTGAGCTATATCCCCGGCCCAGCAATGGTTTTTAGAGAGGAGAAAAACCAAACTTTATGTTAATGTTTCAGAACAAACGATTCTGGGAAAACGAAACAAAACAAAACAAAACATACGGTTATGGAGAATTTCAGTTTTATGTTATTTGTAAAAATTTCTCTTTTAAACCAGGCGTGGTGGCACACACCTGTAATCCTAACACTTAGAAGGCTGAGGCAGGAGGATCGTTGAGAGTTCAAGGACAGCCTGGGGTACAAAAGTAAGCTCAAGGCCAGCCTAAATTGCATAGTGAGACCCTGTCTCAAAAAGACAAAAATAAAATTAAATTAAATTACATTTTAAAAAATTCTCTTCTATCTCCACTTTGAAAAAAATTCTTAAAATGTATTAAGAACTCCCATTCATTGTTTATTACTGTTTCTATATCATCTCCCCCTTCTTGAGACTTGTTACTATTAAACTTTTATTTGGTTAGAGAAACCCCTTGAGCGTTTTCCTCAGGTAAGATAAGATACAGGGAGGTATACTGAGTCTTGGAATAATTGGGAGTTCTTTGTTTTGCTCTAAAAGTTGGTGAGGTATAGTATTTTCTCTCAGCAATTGAGATATTGCTATAGTCTTCTATTTATCTTTGAATTTCAGAAAATTCAAACCACTGAGGACTCAGGATTCTCTTTTAATCCAAATTTAAATATTTCATTAATTTTTTTTTTTCACTTAAAAACGAGAAAAAAAAAAGTATTGAGGTAATCCACATCCATGGTTTATAGATAAGTAACAGAAAGGATTTTTCTTTTGTTTGGCACTAACGGTGACTGAACTCAGGGCTCCTCACAGAGCTACAACCCCAGCCCTTTTTTATACTTTGGAACAAAGTCTCACCAACTCACTAAACTGCCAGGTTGGGCTCCAATTTAGATGCTTCAATCTTGGGATCACAGGTGTGTGCTACCGCACCCAGCTGGAAAAGGATTTAAGATAAATTTGCTCTGCCCCATCCTCAGAAAACCAAAGACAAGCTCTGCTCTCTCAGGTGACCTCAGACAAATTATGCTCACATGGGTTGATTAACCCCTGAGGAAAAGCTGGAAAGGGGGCTAAGGAGGAGCTTTTCGGTTGTTACCTTCCAAGTATATGCTCATATCTGAGTGTTCTGTGGGTGGAAAATACTTGACGAGAAGAGGGAATAGGACTGCACAGATTAGGTATATCTCCTAAACAGTACAGTGTAACAACTACTTACAGTGCATTCACACTGTATTAGGTATTGTTCAAAAGTATAGCGAGGATGTGCCTAAGTTACATGCAAATGCTATGCCATCTTATATAAGGGCTTGAACATCTGCGGGGTTCACCGTCCATGGGTCCTAGAATCACTCATACCTACTGAGGGACAACTGCGCTATATAGTAATTGTGGTTATTTCTAGGCAAGAGGTTGGTTATGCACAGTATTTATTTTCTTCCTTTTTTTTTTGTATTTTCTGAATTTTTTTGGCAACAGAGATCTACAAGCAGAAAAAAACCTATGAAACAGGAAGCGAATAAAGGGAAACAGTCAGAGTCTGCAAGGACTGAAAAAGGACTGAAAAGGGTACCAGGGTTAGCCACAGGAGGCCAACAAGGCTCCCTGACATTTACTCTCTTTCAATGCCAGCCCGAGATTAGAAACTGTGTTTATAATACTAAATTGAAGAACATGCTCTTATTCTTGCATCAGGCTCAAAGCCCCTGGGACTGGCCAAAGGATTTCATTACCATCTATTCTGCAAAACAGTTCTTTTCCAATTTAATGAAACACACACTCAATTAATACCCCAAATTTCCTTCCCCCTAAAAAAAAAGTTAAACTGAAAACTTTAATCATTTTTCAAATAATACTAAGTAGGAGGCCAGGCGCTATAATCCCAGCTACTCAGGAGGCAGAAGCAGGAGGATCACCGTGAGTTTGAGGCCAGCCTGGGATACAAAATGAGCTCAAGACCAGTCTGAAAAGCATAGCAAGACCCTGTCTCAAAAAGGGGAAAAAAAAAGAAAAGAAAAGAAAACTAACCCTTTCGGTTAGGCTAAACCAAAATTTATATAGCACCCTTAAAATTAAAGAGAAGAAACAAATATCTAGGCAAAATAAATCATCTGATTTGGTGAATAAAAAATCAAACACGTATGAAAAGAAAACACTAGTGGCTTTTCTGTTCCAAACAAACTAGGAATGTACCTCAGCACCTTGAGTTCAATCCCAAGTATCAAATCAAATCAAATCAAATCAAATCAAATCAAATCAAATCTGGTAAGCAAAAAATGACAGATTTTCATCAGCATAACAATTCATAGGGCCAGATACTTCTCCCTTGTCCGCATACAACCCTACAACTTATCATATAGTATTTCTAAAACATACAAGAAATTATTTGTAATTCAGCTTGCACATCATAAAGTTATCTTTAGGATTTGAATGTTTCAGATAAGCCTTATATAAAAAAGGACAAATAAAACATCAAAGTCTAAAACATAAAAGAGAGCTTTACTCAATTTTAGTTTAGGTCAAAAAAGTTTTATGAAGAACCAGTTTTCTATCTCTGAAAGGTTTGCATATAACTAAATCACCACTTAAAATACCTGCCAGGCACAGCAGCACACACCTGTAATACCAGAACTCGGGAGGCGGCAGCAGGTGGACTGCTACGAGTTCCAGCCCAGCCTAGGTTACACAGCGAGCTGAAGGCCAGACTGAACCCTATCTCAAAAAAACAAAACAAAGCAAAACCAAAAACAAATGAACAAAAAGAAACACCAAATCATTAGGGCGCAGTGGTACACACCTCAGGCAGCAGAGATACAAGAAATATAACTTGAGAGCAATTAGAATGGAAGAGGCAATGCAGTGAAGCTGTCTCACAAAAACAAAGGCAGGCACACAGGCAGGCAGAAAGGAAGCCTGCCCAAGTCAGAATGTGGAGAAAAGAGAAAACCTGTATCAAAATAGCTAGGGCTACATGTGGCATATGCAAGAAAAATAAGGACAACAAAAGCTGAGATAGGCCAGGAATGGTGGCGCATGGTTACAATCCCAGCAATCGGGAGGCCGCGGCAGGAGGATTGCCAAGAGTTTGAGGCCAGCCTGGACTACATAGTGAGTTCAAGGCCTGGCTGAACTACATGGCGAGACCCTACCTAAAAAAGCTGAGATATTTCTAGATCTGCTTGTCTTTCCTTTAAGTACATCTACTAAACAAACAAGCAAACAAAATCTTCAAAGAAAACATTTATAAGTAAAATACTAAGCCTGTGCAGAATCAGTGGAAATGTAAAGAGTAAAAACTAAATCCAAGAACAAAAGTACATTTCTTGAAATCTTTTAGTATCCACTGCCTCAGTTACTAGCACATAAGCATTTAATAAACATCTACTGAATAAAGGAACACACACTCTATGAAAAAAGCAGAAAGATACAAGTGTACTTCGGAGGTGGGAGGAAGAGGCTAGGCTACAGAAACTATGACATGTGAGTATTACCACTGGGATTTATTCCAGTGCTGGAGTACAAGCAGATGAGCTACTAAATACGTAATTGCAGGCTCTGCCCCAGCTTACCTCACGCAGCACTCCACTGCGCGGAACCAGTGGAGCATCTCATCATGCAGAGTACACAGCTGAAGGCAAGACAGGAAAACCTTCTCAGCGTCACTGTACCAGCCGGCATCTGAAAGGAAGCCACCTGAGGGACAAGAAAAACAAGCAGCTTTTGTTTAGTAAATTGCCAGAAGCTAAAATGCCACATTTGTAGTGATTACCGAAAACAAAAACTCCTTATTAGTCTTGTGTTTAGCTTGAAGTAGAGACTGATGTTGAAAACTGAGCTTCAGTGGTAGAACATATGTAAAGCATGAGTGAAGCTGTAGGCTCAAATCCCAGCACCAAAAATAAATGAAAATTTAAAAGATACCGTGAGATTTTTATTAAAAAGCTTTAAATTAGAGGACTTAGGATGAGACTTTAAATAAGGAGGTAAGAGTTCTGACCTTCTAAGAAGTCTATGGACTAAAATAACCAGAAAACAAAGTAATAGACTGTGTTTCTTTATCCTACAGCATGCATTTTTTATATTTTTCAATCTCTGAAATAGAGATTTATGAGATCATAAAACTGATGGTTATTTTCTATTAATTGGTAGCGCCTTTTTTTTGGTCTTTTTGAGACAGGGTCTCGCTCTGCAGCTCAGGCTGGCCTTGAGCTCACTTTGTAGCCTCAGCTGGTCTCAAACTCCCAATGATCCTGGAGCGCTGGGATTACAGGCGTGCACCACCATGCCCAGCTAGCATTTTCTTTCTTTCTTTTTTTTTTTTTCTGTCTTTTTGAGACAGGGTCTCGCTATGCAGTTCAGGCTGGCCTTGAGCTCACTTTGTAGCCTAGGCTGGTCTCGAACTCACAAGGATCCTCCTGCCTCAGCTTCCCAAGTGCTGGGATTACAGGTGTGCGCCACCATGTCTGGCCCATTTTTTTCTTGATACCACAAATAATATGGTGTCTTAAAATGTCAAAGTCAGCTGTACATGGTGCCACACCCCTGTTATCTCAGCACTCAACTAAGGTAGGAGGATTGCTGTGAGTTCAAGGGCAACCTGGGCTACAGTTAGTTCAAGGTCAGGCTGAACTACATAGAGAGGCTCTGTCTCAACATGCTCCCCTAAATGTCTGAGTGAACAAAATATTGCATTTTGCTTAGACTTTTTTTGTGTTTAATTAAAGCTACAAGTAATCAAACAAATATTTTATTACCTGGAGAGAATTGAGCTTTATAACAACCTAGGCCCTTCACAAAAGGACTACAATAATAAGGTGATTTGTACCAAGAACACACTGCATGATGTGCTGGTTATCAGGCTGTTTCTTGACTTGAAATCTACCACTCTTGACTGTTCTTTTGATGCTGAGGCAATGTTTCTGTAAATCACATTTCTCCTTAGCCAGCTGTCTGTCTGTTAGGCTCTGCACTAAAGAGAGGGACTGCAAGACAAGAAGAGCAAGGAACAGTCCTTCCTATGCAGACAGGAACACCCTAGGGCATGCTTCTTTACTGTGGCAGTGGCAGTTCATTCCAGTAAGCAATAGTCAATTCCAGTTGCAGTTTTACAAATCCAGTTTCACAGCACCCTGTCAGCAACATCAGAACAGCTAGCCAGCCAGTCACTAATTCTCAGACTCTCTAAAATGGGCCCCCTTTTCAGAGCTCACAGGTAGTGGTACCAACCCAGCATCAGAACCTTGGAAGTGGTACTCTTCATAGTACCCTAGTTTTCCCATTTTTGTCTTTTTGGTTCTTACACTCAGAGAAAAATTTGTTATATTAAACTATTCCCACTGGGCATGGTGGCACACGCCTGTAATCCCAGCACTCAGGAGGCTGAGGCAGGAGGATCACTGTGAGTTTGAGACCAGCCTGGGCTGCAAAGTGAGCTCAAAGCCAGCCTGAACTGCATAGTGAGACCTTGTCTCAAAAAAAACCAAACAAACAAGCAAAAAAACCAAACAAACAAGCAAACAAACAAACAAACAAAACCACCTATTCCCACAATAAGAAACAGCTAGGCCTTGAAGACATTATGCTAGATGGAACAAGCTAGTCACAAGGTCCATATATTTTCTAAGTCTATTCATGTGAAATGTCTAGAACAGGCAAAATCTACAGAAACAAAGCAAACTGACAGTTGCTTGGGATGGGAGGCAAATGAGGAATGACTGCTAGTAAGTGTGAGTTTCTTTCGGGGGTAATCACTGCTCTACAGCTTAACTGTGGTAATGTTTGACTAATTCTGTGCACTTACTAAAAACCACTGAAAAAGTATACTTTATATGGATCAATTGTATAGTATATGAATTATACCTTAGTAAGGTTTTTGTTTTGTCTTTTTTAAGACAGGGTCTCACTATGTAGTTCAGGCTGGCCTTGAGCTCACTATAGCCCAGGCTGGTCTTGAACTTGCAAAGATCCTGCCTCAGCTTCCTGAGTGCTGGGATTATAGGTGTGCGCCACCACAGCCGGCTGTAAGGTTGTTACTTTAAAGAATTATCACTATACACTTCTAGAATGAAATTCTTTCATTTTTAGCATAATTTTAAGATTAAAATTGACAATGTAACTGAATTAGTTGGGATCTGTTTCTATCTCTGAGATTCTGTCTCATTACAGTGGCCAGGCTGGTGTATGTGGAGGTAATAGAAAAGCTCAAGGAACACTAACTTTCCTATCTATCACTCGTCTGCCTTGACACTGACTATCTCAAACACAGACTTTTACCTGAGCATCTGCAGCTAAGAGGATGCCATCCTTTTCTTTTCTTTTTTGAGGCAGGGTCCCACTATGTAGTTCAGGTGGCCTTGAATTTGCTGTAATCCTCCTGTCTCAGCCTCCCAAGTGCTGGGATTATAGGTGGCTGCCACCATGCCGATTTTTTTGTTGTTCATCCTTACTATTCTCCCTAATCTTTTTTTTTTTTGGTACCAGGAATCAAACTCAGGACCTTGTGCTTGCCAGACAGGCACTTATGCCACTGAGCTACATCCCCGGCCATCCTTACTATTAACTAAGTTCACAAACACTATTTTCACAGACATTCTTCAGGCAATTATTTGTTATAATATATAGGCTGTGAGGCTATTAAAGGATAAATGCTAAGGGGTCTTTTCAGCAAACAATGTTCTTAAAGAGCTGGATGTGGTGGCACATGCCTATAATCCCAGCAGTCCATGAGGTGCAGGCAGGAGGTCCACAAGTTGAAGTCCTACCTGGGCAATTTAGCAAGACCCTGTTTCAAAATAAAAAAAGAGCTAGAGATGTAGGTCAGTGGTACAGTACCTCTGGGACTGATTCGCAGTCTCTCTCACACACACACACACACACACACACAAACACACACACACACACGAATCCTCTGAAGCTCCTATAGCAAGTAAGAGACTACTACAACACACTGTTCTAAGACTGAAGGAAATGATCATGAAAATCTGACTGTAAAAAATGTGCACACACAGGCGTGGTGGCGCACACCTGTAATCCCAGCGCTCCGGAGGCTGCGGCAGGAGAATCATTGCAAGTTCAAGACCAGCTTGGGCTACACAGTGAGCCCAAGGCCAGTCTGAATTGCATAGAGAGACCCTGTCTCAAAAAAAAAAAAAGAAAAAAAGGTCTCCTTCCAAAAGCTTGGTCTATTGGGCTGAGGATTTAGCTCAGCGGCACAGTGCCTGCCTGGCAAGCGCAAGGTCGTGAGTTTGATTCCCAGTACCAGAAAAACCAACAAAAATAAAATTAAAAATAAAAAAATAAATGTACATCAAAAATGTGCACACATATGGCAGAAAACATACCCATGCACACATTAACGTGATTCTAAAAACAGTAACACTTTAAAAAAAAAAAAAAAAGAATAACACTTTATCCTGGTAGTGGTGGAGGTCATGAATATATGAAATCAATTGCATGGAAATATACACAATGAATGCAGATAAAAACTGGTGATAACTGATAAGGTCTGCAGTCTTCCTGGTTTTTATACTGTCCTACAGTTGCATATTACCACTAGAGAAGGCTGGAGGAATGTTTCAAAGGACTCTAGGTAACTCTTTTACAACTCTCTATGACTCTATTTATAATTTCAAAATAAAATTTTTTTAAAAAAATCAAGGAGTTAGCAAGAACTTTAAAAATAAATGACCTGAAAAAAAAAAAAATGGCCTGGGGCCGGGGATATAGTTCAGCGGCACAAGTGCCTACCTGGCAAGCACAAGGTCCTGAGTTCAATTCCCGGTACCAAAAAAAAAAAACAAAAACAAAACCCAAAGATAAATGGCCTGAAACACACTTATCTATATACATTTATGAAAACCATGTTACAGAAGCAGTAAAAAATACTTTATTATATATGTGGCATATAAAATTTTCATGTTTTCACTATCCTTATAACATTCCCATGAGGAAATTCAGAATAACTCTCATATTAGAAATGAGAAAACTGAGGCCCCAAAAGGATTCAGTCCCACGTCACAGCATGTAGTCAGCAGGTGAGAGAGGTTGACGGTAGCATGACATGGTAGAAAGATATGTGCTTTACACTCACACAGACACAAGATTTTAAACTACTATGTGGTCGATCTGGTTACTCAACTTTTCTGAGTCTATTTCCTCATATGTGAAATGTTAATACCACCAGTGCAATGGACTGTCTGGAGGGTTTAGGAAGATACCATTTAAATACCTACTATAGAGCCTGGCACAGATTTAAATTCTAATACATCACACACCTCATTCTTCTGATGTTTTCCTCATAACCTCCCTCTATAGACTTTGGGAAACTCCCAGAAGAACCCTTTATTGTTATCAGCTTGTTTTGTTTTGTGACAGGGTCTTGCTCTGTGGCTGAGGCTGGCCTTGTACTTACTGTGTAGCCCAAGCAGGCCTCAAACTCATGGCGAGACCCCTGCCTTAGCCTCAAGAGTGCTAGGATTACAGGCATGCGCCACCACATGCAGCTTATCAGCAGGTTTAATTCTGAGTCTGCACAAGACGAAACTTTCTCATATTTTACTGTTACATACCTAGAACAAAGCCAACCTGAATTGCTTTTTCCTTTACTGCCGCATCTGATTCTGCTATGTAAGAGCACCGTCTACTGAACGAGTAGGCCAGGACTGAAGCAACTTTAACACCATGATCCATCAAAGCCTGAAAACAATGATGAAGCAAATGTCTGAAAGAGAAGGAAAAGATTACTCAAAAAAAAAATCTTATTTTTGTCCTTTTAGAAAGCTGATTTCTTTTTTTTGGTACCAGGAATCGAACTCAGGATCTTGCACTTGCCAGGCAGGCACTTGTGCTGCTGAGCTATATCCCCAGCCCCAAAAGCTGCTTTCTTTGTAAAGAATACCACCATCATTCTCCAAGATAGAATAAAACAAAGAAGTATTCTGCCCTATAAATTATGAAACTATGGTAATTCCAAAGTTAGCTTGAGATGGCACAGTGGTGCGTGCCCATAATTCTAGCACTTTGGGAGTCTGAGGAAGGAGGACTCTAAATTTGAGCCCAGCAAGACCGTCTCCAAATAAAAAATCACTGGAATGTAGCGCAGTGCAGAGGCCCCAAATTCAATCCCCAGTACCAAAAAAAAGATAGCTTGATATCTTTACTCAGCTCATCACTGAATGATCCTGTAACACTCAGGAAAACCACACAGTATAACTTGATAGCAACAAAAGATGAAGCTAGCCTTTCATATCAGCTCTGAAAAATCAATTATAACCCAAACATAAAAAGACAACCCAGGGCCAGGGATATAGCTCAGTGGTACAAGTACCTGCCTGGCAAGTGCAAGATCCCGAGTTTGATTCCCAGTACCAAAACCAAAACAAAAGACAATCCAATTAAAACAGGCAGCCAGGTACAGTGGGGCAAGCCTGTAATCCCAGCTATTCTGGAGGCTGAGACAGGAATATCCAAAGAAGATGTATCAACAGCCAATAAACACAAGATAATATGCTTAATATCATTAGCAATTAGGGAAATGCAAATCAAAATTTGTAAGAGGGCTGGGGATATAGCTCAGCAGCACAAACACATGGCCTGGCAAGGTCTTGAGTTCGATTCCCAGTAGCAAAAAAAAAAAAAAAAAATCATAGTAAGATACCACTTCGTACCCAATAGAATGACTACAATTTTTCACAAAGTGTTGGCAAACTGGTCGGGCTGGTACATGCCTTTAAACCCAGCTACTCAGGAAGCTGAGATAGGACAATCCCAAGATTGAGGTGAGACTGGACAATTTAGCATGACTATCTCAAAAATAAAAAGGGCTGGGGATACAGTGAGGCCTTCTGTTCAATCCCCAGAGCAAGAAAAAGGTAGAAACAACCCAAATATTCATCAACAGATGACTGGATTAATAAAACACAGTATTATCCTTACAGTGGAAAATTACCCAATCATAAAAAAGAAAGTAGTGTGGACATAAACATCTTTTAAAATGTTATGCTACGTGAAAGAGTCAATAAAAAGAGCAACTGTTGTATGGTTGCATGTATATTCAATATCTAGACTAGGCAAATCCTGAGACATAAATATTAACAGTCACCCAGCATCCAAGGATGACTGTTACTAGTTTCCTTTTGGGGCAAGGAAATGTTTTAGAATTAAGACAGTGATGGTTGTAAAGTCTTGTGAATATTCTAAAAGCTACTAGGAGTTACAATTTAAGACGGCAAATTTTATGATATATGACTTATAACTCATAAAAGTATTTTAAAAAACAAAACTGTAACTAACAGAAGCACTGCTTTGGATAAAGGAGAAAAAAAACTAAGTTGTTTGCTTTTAGTCTCACAAATATCACCAAAGATTTGTTTTTGTTTTTGTCTTTTTGAGGCAGAGTCTTGCTATGCAGTTGAGGCTGGCCTTGAGCTCACTTTGTAGCCCAGGCTGATCTCAAACTCCCAAGGATCCTCCTGCCTCAGCGTCCCAAGTGCTGGGATTACAGACGTGCACCACCACACCTGGCCAACACCAAAGATTTGGACTTGGTGAAAGATAACCTACGAGATGAAAGGGGTAGGCACTCCACTACACCTATTAAAATAGCCACATTCAGAACTGCAGTCATTCAAATCATAGTAAGCTAACATTTTTTTTTCCTTTTATAGCCTTTATTTTAAATTGATGTTTTAGAAGAACAGTAAATTAAACTAACCTTTTTTAAAAAAGACTATTTTTAAAAAGCTTTTCTATAGTCTCTCTCTGCCAAAATTGAGACCTTCTCACCTATTTTTTTTTTTTTCTGTCTTGCCTTTTTGAGACAGGGTCTTGCTATGCAGTTCAGGGTGGCCTTGAGCTCACTTTGTAGTCCAAGCTGGCCTCAAACTGATGATGATCCTCCTGCCTCAGTCTCCTGAGTGCTGGGATTACAGATATGCAACACCATGCCTCCCCTATTTCTTAATTGACTTATTTATTTACTTTTGTGGTTTTTTTGAGACAAGGTGTTGCTATGCAGTATGGGCTGGCCTTGAACTCACTATGTAGCCCAGGCTGGCCTCCAACTCACAGCGATCCTCTTTGCCTCATCCTCTTTGGAGTGCTAGGATTATAGGCATGCTTCACCACATGTGGCCATATAGACTAATTTTAAACAATCAAGTAACCAAAAGGTTTTTCTATAGTCTTGGTAAACAGGTCACATTTCAGTCATCCTTGAATATTAAATTCATTTTATTTATTTACTCATCCATTTATCTTCTTATCCCTCTTTAAAAATACAAACTCCATGATGAAGGGATCTTGAAGTTCATATCCACTGCCTGGCATCTAGAACTTGGCATCTAGAACAGTACCAAGCACACACAGTTCCAGGCATTCAACAAGTATTTATTTAATTTGCTGAACAAATAAAACAACTTGACAATAATTATATTAAAGATCAGCAGTATTTTATGAAAGCATATTCTTATTACTATGATTTTTTTTTTTTAGAAATGTGGGTTAGGAAAAAGAAATGGCAGTGAAAGCAAATTTAGGGAAGAATGTAAAACAGAACAGCAAGTACAGTCAAAAGTCAGGCTGGGCGTGGTGGTGCAGGTCTGTAATCCCAGCACTCAGGAGGATCGTCGAGAGTTCGAGACCAGCCTGGGCTACAAAGTGAGCTCAAGGCCAGCCTGAACTGCACAGCAAGACCCTGTCTCAAAAAGATGAAAAAAAAAAAAAAAAGAAAGTCATCATCTCTCTGTAGCTCCTACTTCCTAATACTTACAGCAGGCAAGGTGAATTCAGCTCCCCCCCCCCGCCTTTTTAATGGAGGTTAAGAGCAGAACATATTTATTGGGGGAAAGCAAGCTTCTGTTCGAGAGACACAGAAGGGGACCCACGTGGGCTCCCATCAGTCTCCCTTTCTTCAATTAAAAATCCAACCTGCCCGAGTATTCATTTCCCAAAAGACATGGAGCTGGGTGAACACATTCTGCCTTTTTCGTCACCACCCTTCCTTGCTTGGACTGTGTAATTACTGCAACAATACCATTACAATATGCTCTGTGTATCATTTTAGCTGGTAACTCTTAAAAATGTCTTCAAACTATACTTCTAGGTATATCTGATAAATATACATATGTATGCTCACCAAAAGACATGTACAAAGATAATCACATTAACACAATTTACTTATTTATTGTTTTCTGGGATTTTTGGAGTCAAGGTCTTGGTATAAGTCCAGACTGGCCTCCAACTTGCAGTCATCCTGCCTTAGCCTCCTACAAGCCAGGATTACAGGCATGTGCCACCGTACCTGTGGCTAGCACTATTTATAATAGTTAAAAATGAATCAAGTGTTCAACATTAATAGAATTGAATAATGATATGGAACAGGGCACTGTACATATGCACTAAGATGAAAATGAACAAAGTATAACAAAGCTGATTCTTATAATACTGAGCAAACAAACAAACAAAAAACCCCGTACTCGAAAGGGCATACACCATATATATCCATCTAAAACAAGTATAATGAACCTAGTGGGGTGGGGAAGTAGTGACTAAAAAGAGTATATACTATATAAGTGTAATCATCTAAAATAAGCCAAATGAAATACTAAAAACTAAATGCTACTTTAAAATGAATTTATGGAAAGTAGGAAGGCAGCTTCTCAAACACTTAAAAACATAATTAACATATGACCCAGCTATTTGGTATATATAACCAAAAAAAAAAAAAAAAAAAAAGCAATGATTCAGAGTTACTTGAATGCCTATGCTGACAGAGGTATTATTTACATTAGCCAAATGGTGGAAAGGCCTCAAATACCCTTGACAGATGGATAACCAAAATGTAGCATATACATCCAATGGATTATCTAGCTTTACACGGGCATGAGGGTGGGAGTGGTAAGAGTTCAGCAGGAGAGACCTTGCCTAGTGTGTACAAGACCTTGAGTTCAGTTCCCAACATGGAACAGAGGAAAGGAATTCTGACACGTTATCACTTTGATGAGCCTTGCGAACGTCGTGTTAAATGAAATAAAGCCAACACAAATGGACAGGTTCTATTGGATTCCTCTTGCATGGGTACACCCAGAGTACTCAAACACAAGCAGACAAAGCCAAACGGTGCCTGCAGCAGCTAGGAGAGGAGGAAATGGGAGTTATCACTTAATGGGCACAGTTTTTGTTTGAGATGACAAAAACACTCTGTAAGTGGACAGTGTTTTTACTGTTGCATTTAACATCATTCAGTTGCACATTTAAAAAAGCAGTTCAGCATTGTGTATATTTTACCACAGTTTTTAAAAAGAACTTACCTTTTATCCAAAGCTCTCAATACTTTAGCAAAAACTTCCAATTCACAAAATTCACTACCCAATTGACATAATCGTCCCTGCTGGTAAAGCTGAAATAAAAAATGAAAAATTATTTATAAATTTATAAGCCTCCTTCCATCTGTAAGACAGTTTTTCTCCTTTCTTAACGGGAATGAAACTTCCCTTGAAACAGCACACCTACAGTAATAAAAGATGGCAGGATTTCTGGTTATGCCATATTCACTTGTAGATTCTTACCTTTTAGCACTGTTAGTGTAGAAGAATATTTTAGTACTGTAAAAAAATGTACTAAACATTTATCTCAAATATACATGCACATGGTTTAAATGAGGCAAATACTACTGCCCTTTTCTCCTCTGCCTCAACTTCAATGAATACTTTTGAATTTACATGTTATAAATGATAGTCTTGGATTTACATATGCTACATACATAATATAGCACACTGGGAGAAATTCTGATATTTTAATTCACTTATGGTCTAGGTACTTAACATTTAGCTCAGAAGATGAGAACAAGGGTTTCAAAAAGTGGTCAAAGTCTAGAGTTCATTCTCCAAATGAGTCAGTCAACTTTATTCATGGAAAACATACTACAAAGTCACCACACTCTTGGGCATAAATCTTTAGTAACAGAGGCTGGATCAAATAAGGTGCATATATCAAAGCAAATCCATAAAGGCTGCTGCAGAAAGTCCCCAAGGACTGCTGGAGAAGGGAAGGGACAGAGATTACCACATGCTCAGAAAGGGGAGGCAGAAATGTGATCTTCCTGTAATGGTTGTGTATTAACATTGAAGCCTTCAGAAGGGACGATTTGTTATTCTCGGAAATGTCTGTTTTTCAGCTACAGAAAAATAAGAGATTCTGGGAATATTCACAGTAAAATTCATTACGATTAATCATTGTCATATTCACTTGTCTATTAACCAAATACAGAATAACTCAGGGAAAATAAAGTTGAGAATTTATAACCAAATTCCTGTTTGTGAACTAAACAATGTGACTAAACTTTTGATTTGGAGCAAAATCACACGGTTATCAAGATAAATATATACACATACTCCAAAAACACTTAAGATAAAAAATTTAGCTTCTTACCAAAATAAATGACTCATCATTACCAAACCTAAGGCTCTTTTATAAGGCAGATGAAAACAAGTTACGTAACAATTTTGCCTGTGCTCAACAGTTGAATAAAAAAAAAAAAATCAAATTCAATTTTATGTGTTCTACAATGTAAAGTACCGCTTTAATAACTGAAAATTGTATATCAGGCTAAATGAGATTTGAAAATAGAATTTGGGAAAGTTACTGGTTTATGGTTTGAAAATATGCCACATAATAAAATCAGCATTTTACTGAGATGTTTACTATTTCTAGGTAAAAATGGGTTTACATTTAAACTATGGGAAGAGGGGACTGGGCTTCAGTGCCTGAGCACTTTCCTAGCATAAAGCCCTGGGTTAGATCCCCAGTAGGGGTGAGGGTAGGGGACCTGAGGGAAGAGCAGGATGAGTGGGCAGGTAGTAGTTCACTGGTTTCATCCTTACCTTACCAAATTTATTCCAAACATGTAAATTTATAATTTTTATGAACTAAAGGGACTGCTGGATACCAACTCAAATAAAAAATAGCATTTAATCCTTATAGAGATCTTATATGAGCCAGGTATTTTACTCAGTATTGTTCATTAAGTCAGCTTGTCTTCATACAGGTAGGTAAACTGAGGCACACAGCGTTAAATAACCTGTTTAAAATTGTGTGATTAGGAAATGGCATCATCAGGTATGGTGGCACGAGGCTGTAATCCCAGCACTCAGGAGGCTGAGACAGGAGGAGCGCTACATGTTCGAGGCCACCCTGGGACACACAGTGAGTTCAAGGCCAGCCTGAACTATACAGTGAGACCCTGTCTCAAAAAAAAAAGAAATGGGGGGGCTGGGGATTTAGCTCAGCGGCAAAAGCGCCTGCCTGGCATGCGCAAGGTCGTGAGTTCGGTTCCCGGTACCGGAGAAAAACCAAAAAAAAAAAAGAAATGGTGAAACCAGAATCCGACCCCAGCAGTTTGTCCCCACATCTTCATTCTTACACTGCACTGTTGCTACAATGTAACAAGATATAAATATTAAATGGACAATTTAAAACCTTTTCATAAAAAATAACAGCTAAAGATTAATCTCTTTTAAATGATCCATCCTAAGAAGCAAAGCTTAGAGAAGAGGAAATTGATTGAGGCTCTAGGTTCTATAATGACTCTCATACTTAATTTTTCAGACATGATTTGTTTAAGTTTCTTATAACAATGTTTATATTCTTTATCTAGAGAATAGTGAAACTTTTAATAGGCCACAGACTACTTTTAGCTGTTAGTACCTCAAAGAAAATAGGTAAAAATCAAATTACCACCACATATAAAAACAACAGAAACAGATCTTAATATATGTAATATTATGACAAAAGAACCATATTCTATTTTCCTTTCTTTTTTTTTTTTTTTTTTTTTTGGTCTTTTTGAGACAGGGTCTCGCTATGCAACTCAGGCTGGCCTTGAGCTTACTCTGTAGCCCAGGTTAGTCTCACACTTGCAACGATCCTCCTGCCTCAGCCTCCCAAGTGCTGGGATTACAGGTGTGTACCACCATGCCCAGCAAAAGAACAATTTTCAAATCACCAAGAAAAAAAAATCAGCTAGTAAAAAGTTCATTAAAAAAGTGGCAAGAGATATCTACCTAATAAAATACATTCCCAACTTATTAAAATTTTAAATGTTAAAAAATTAAATCATAGCAATGAAATTAAAAGCTGCTTTGGAACACTGCCTCTGTGTTTGTGTGTGAGCACTCAGTACGGACTAAAACCAAGGCCTCATGTGAGTCAAGTACTCTACCACTAAGCTACACCTTCAGCACTTAACATTGCCTAACAATTGTATCACATAAAAATCAAGAGCCACACTATTACTTAAAAATTTAAGAATGGCCGGATGTGGTAGTACAAACCTATAATCCCAGCACTCTGGAGGCTAATGCAGGAGTGTGAGTTTAAGGCCAGCCTGGGCTATATAGTGAAACCCTGTCTTAAAAACAAACGAACGCACCAGGCGTGTGGTGGCACACACCTGTAATCCCAGCACTCGGGAGGCTGAGCAGAAGGATCACTGCAAGTTCGAGACCAGCCTGGGCTACAAAGTGAGCTCAAGGCCAGCCTGAACTGCATAGGGAGACCCTGTCTTAAAAAGACAAAAAAAAACAACAACAAAAAAAAAACAAAAATAGTAACTTTAAGTGTTCATGAATATAAAATACTATAAGCACAGTTTTAAAATACAACAATATTAAATACGATATTAATAAACCTACATGTGTATGACTTAGAATCTAATGTACAAGGAGGCTTAAGAAAAAGATGTACTGCCTGTGATGTTTTTAGAAGCCAAGGTTTCCAGGAACAAAAGTAAAACTCTTGTAAGAAAAGAAAAAGTAACTACTGCTGGGATGATGCAAGACGGCCCCAAGCCCAGAGAACTCTTTGAGAAAGAGTGAAGGGAGTGAAAGGCTTCCCTAAAGCCAGATTTTGAACGAGCACATGGGCTTCCCAAGTCAATTCAAAACTACCACAAACAGAGTGAAAAGCTTAGTATTAACATTAAATTAGCCTACAAAGTAATCTACTGTAATTCCAAACAGCAAAAATTCACGAAGATTCACAAAAAGATATAAAGGAAATTTAGTCCAAAACTGTGGTCTAAGAAAAACTTCGAAAGCCACACAAACAAGCACTCGAGCACTCATACACGCAGGGAAATGCTTGCATCGCACTTATGTTTGGAACTGCTTGCCAGTCATCACACCGTGAGAAACCCCCAACATGAAAAGCACCTACTATCAGTGAAAATTTGACTACGATATAGGAAAAGTGAACAAGTGCTCCAAAAGTTTGAATAATGTAATTTCACCTGTTTTAAATGTTGTGTAAGTATGTTGTATATGAGTATGTATAAAAATCTGATACGAGTCAATAAAATGTTTACAACTACAGTGTAGGATTTACGTCTCAAAATTTTCACCTCTATTGTCATCACTTTCTCCTGGACTACTATAAACTTTTGGTAGAATTAGTCTCTCTATTATCACTCTTGCTCCTCTCTAATCTCCACACAGTAGCCAGATGAGCTTTTTTTTCAGGTGAGCTTTTAAAAAAGTAACTCATATCATGCCACTGCCTTTTTAAAAACTTCTCAATGACACTACCTTTCACTTAGCCATAGCACAAAATCTTTAATGTACCTACAAGTTCCTAAGCCACCTGACATATGCCTACTCTTCTGACTTCATCTTTTCCTGTTCTTTTTGCCCTGTCCCCCACTCCTGTCACCTAAGCTTCCCTATAGCTCATGACTTTTGTCTTTTTGAGACAAGGTCTCTTTAGGCAGTTCAGTCTGGCCTTGAGCTCACTTTGTAGCCCAGGCTGGTCTCGAACTTGCAATGATCCTCCTGCCTCAGCCTCTCGAAAGCTGGGATTAGAGGTGTGCGCCATCACGCCTGGCTGCTCATGACTTTTGTTGTATAAATATCTTACTATCTCTACATGAAGCACCAGTTCTGTGATTTTTTTTTTGCCTCTAATAAATTTTAAAAATTTAAACATTCACCATATATTTTGATCCCTCTTGGCACATTGAACATTTTCTGGATGAATACTGGATGCTACTCAGGACCTCAGGAAAAACAAAAACTCAAGACATAGACTCTACTCAGGAGTTTGTAACAGCCAAACAATAACTGTTCAGTTCAATATAGCTATTCTATTTTTATGGAAACTTCCCAGAGGTTGGTGTGACACTAAGGGAAAAACTCCAATTTCAAACATAGTTTTTATTGCCCCCCAATCAGGATATACAGATACCTTCAAGAGAAGATTTAATAGGCAGTCTTATGTCCTATCTTTATAGCAACCATAGAACATAATACTAGTACCTAATGGAACAGCAACCTTAATTTTTTCACTTATTCTCAGTATAACTGCTTAAATTAATAGACATAAATGGGTATTTCATATTTATTTATT